CCCGGCCCTCCTACTGCCCTCTCTTACGACTATATACCTCTTCCTCCCACCTGGCCCCAGGACACCAGAATTGCTGTGTGGGGCCTGGGTGCTTGGGGACAGCACTGCTGGCTGCCTCACCTGCGAGAGGTGGCTTCGCAGGCACACAGGGGCTGAGGCGGCCCACGCGATCGTGGGAGACGAGGCGGGCGAGCCGCAGCCCCTCGTCCATCAGTGTCTGCTGCAGGATGTGGCGGCTCCATAGCCCATGGGCTGGCAATGCCAGAGGCAGGTCAGCAGGGGGCGGCGTCAGCCTTGGGCATGACCCCACAGCTGTGGGCATGGGCACTGGTCAGGTAAGGGGCTGCAGCCAATGGAACCCCCACCCTCAACCACACAGCCAGCCCACAGGCCCTTCTGCCCCCCCCTCCAGCCATGCCTCCCAGCCCTGTTCCAGACATTGCCTCCTGGCTCACTCCTCCCCCCCACCCCCATCCCCACCCCCTTACCCCCAATGAAGAGAAAAGTGTTCTGAGGCACACTCACCCTGCAAGTGTCCATCCAGACTCTCCCCAGACAGGCTGGCGCTGTCCTCCTCCAGGCTGGGGCGGTATGGGGGTGCATAGGACTCAGGGCCTGGGGGAGGCTGCTGGATTTCAGGGTGACTCTGTTCTCCAACCTGTGGATGCCCAAAATGGGGAAATGAAGACTTGGCAAGAGAGAGGATTGGGGAAGGCTGCCTGACGCCCCTATATGCAACCCAGAAAACACACCTCTTGTTTCAGCTTCTTCAGTGGAGGGCCTCCCAGTTCTTCAGGGTGGAGCCTGAAAATACGGATAAGAATAAAGCGGGTGAGGCTGCGGAGGGCCATTCGATCATTCGATGGGCAGAGTCCAGAACCTGGCTAGAGGCATGTGTTATTTAACACCTTTGCCAATAAGTTGGCAGAGAAGGAGTGTATAGCTCAGGTGCTATTGTTGTAGGGGGTTGGGGGACCCAACATGGATGGAAGGAGAGACCAGACCTGAGACAAGCTGACTTAGCCAAAAGCAGGACATGCAGGTGGGGCAGAAGCAGGCCTAGAGCTGCCTAAGCTGAAGGTTTAGATATGATCTAACTCCATGGTGGGATTCCAGTCCAGGAAGGACCTGGGGAAGGGGGTCTCACCTGGAGCCTTTCAAGGAGGACAAGTAGGTGCTCTCTCGGGCTACTTGGCGGGACAAAGAGAAGAGCTCCACTCTCCGCAATAAGAGCGTGTTGTCCCTCATGCAGAACTGGGCAGCAGCCTCGTTGATGGTAAGCTGTGGAGAGAGGGCAGCCAGGAGAGTCAGAATTGAAACTCCCCGGCTGCCTCACCAGACCTCCTCGCACCCCTTCACCATCGGACAAATGAGGCCCATCCATTGGATGCTTGCTTTGTTTCTGACACTATACAGGAGCTTTCTGAAGAAAGAAGACAGAGGTCAGCACCCACAGCTTCCTAGGAATGCCCGGGGCCTCCACTACTCCTGTGGGGTCCTGAGTGACACGGAGCTGACAACAGCTGGGTGCTGCCTCTATCTTTGCATCCTCCTCAGCTGAGGATGGGAGCATTGTGGCCCCTGGGTGGGGGCCTGTTGGGGAGGGGGTCAGGGCCTGGGGTCCTGGTCAGGGGGTAATGAAAGAGAACTGGAGATCTCAGAAGCTCGCAGAGGTAAGCAGCTAGAGGCCCACAAGTCAAGGGCAATCCTAGGAGGCCTGGGGGTTCTTACCTCGTGCAGGCTGAGCTGCTTGCCCTCCCGCCGTTTAGAGTCGAAACGGCCATAGATGATGCTGTATTTGCGGATCTCCTCTTCCTTCTGGCTGTCATTATCATCCATCTCAAAGATGTGCCCCACGCTCCGTGCCAGCTTCTTATTCAGCTTTAGCAGGGATGTGACCTCCCCAGCATCCCCCCTTGGGAAGCTCCGGAAGATCCTCTCCACACTTTCCACCACCATGCGTACCATCTCTGGCTCCAGTCGATCTGGACTACCCCCAGTCCCACCTGCTGCCAGCCCCCCAGCCCCAGTCCCCTCAGGGACTCCTCCCCCTGCAGGGGGGGAGAAGGGGGGCGAGCCAGCCTCCTCTTCTCCTCCTGCCCCAACGTCCGACTCTGGAGTGCTCCGGCCTGGCCAGATCCGGGGGTCCCCTGCCCCTGGTCCCCCAGGCAGTGGTGATAGCTTCTCTCCAAGTTCAAGGGGGCTCTTGGGACTAAAACTGCGGGCACTGCCTGCCTTTTCCCCTGGGCTGCCATGCCCATTGCTCATGCTCCCTTTCCGGGTACCCGCAGTCTCAGAGATCTTGAAGAGCGGGATGCTGGAGACGGGAACAGCAGGCACTGGTTGACTGAAGAGCCCTGGATTGGTGGCCCACTCTCTCAGTGCCTTCTGCAGGCGTCGGACATGGAGGGGCTTGGTGGCCATGCCCACAAGTGCCATGATCTCCAGAAACTCCTCCTCACCCGCCTCACACAGCTGCTGCACGTCGTCCCCTCCCTGCTGGATGAAGGTCTCATAGTAGGAAAGGAGGTTGGCGCGCTGCAGGACCCGGTACAGCTGCAGCTCCCCCAGCGTCCGAGGCAGTGCCATGGCTCGGGCACTGGGCCTGAGAAGGAGGGGCACAAGAGAGAGGCAGTCGGTGCAAGTCCCCCTACTGGGTACCCACCCACACTAACAATTGCTCCCTCTTTTCTGCCTGCTTTTCTCGCCCCCCCCCCATTTGGATGCTCTCCTGCCCAGTACCCACATCTGAGTACAGACCCTGAGAATCAGGCACTGCTCAGAGGCATGGACAAGCCGGGGCCGTCCTAGACTAGCCTGAAGCACCAAAAGCCAGTGCCCATGTCTGCAGGAGTGCAAGTCTCTTTACAACCCCATCTTCGGCTTTTATCTTTCTGGTCTGGGGCAAGACCTGACCAGCACCAATCTGGGATGGCTGGACCTCCCTCTCCCCCAAAACACAATCCTCACCTTCCACTCTAAACACTGGGCAGTCTCAAAGCTAATGAAAGTGAAGTCACCCATACTAATGTGAATGTAGGGCCCTGTCTCTCCCACAGTGGACACTGAGGGACACTACAGCTGGTCAGTTTCACTTCCCGTGGACGGGCCACAGCACCAGGTGGCTGAGAGTGAGGGTGTGTCACCTTCCCTGGCTTTCCCACTCAGTGAGCCAGGTGTTGCCTTGCTCCTTGTGCAGCTTTTCCCGGGGTTAAGCATTCTTTTTCTTTTTTCTTTATTTTTTGGGGCGGGGGGGGGGGAGGTGGGCCGGAGTCTCGCTCTGTCGCCCAAGCTGGAGTGCAGTGGCCCGATCTCGGCTCACTGCAACCTCTGTCTCCTGGGTTCAAGCGATTCTTCTGCCTCAGCCTCCTGAGTAGCTGGGATTATGGGCGCGCCCCACCACGCCTGGCTAATTTTTGTAGTTTTAGTAGAGACAGGGTTTCTCCATGTTGGTCAGGTTGGTCTCGAACTCCGTGACCTCGTGATCCAACTGCCTTGGCCTCCCAAAGTGCTGGGATTACAGGCGTAAGCCATCGTGCCTGACCGGGTTAAGCATTCTTTACGCAGGCTTACTCTCTCCCGCTAGGACCTCTCCACCCCTTTCAGGCTGCCCAGTTCTCCTCAGTGGCCCCTCTCCCAGCACTGACACTCCCCACTTTCTCTGTGGGCCTGTTCCTGCAGCTCAGGGGCCGCAGCAGGGGAGGGGCGCAATTGTTCTGCTCCAGGGCCGTTCCGCCCACACACACTCCCACAGTGATAGCGTCTGTGGGCGAAAACCGCCCAGGGGCTCCCGCCTACTCTCCTCTCCCTTATTTTCCACCCGCATCTTCAAGTGGAGTGGGGGAGCGGCTCAAGGCCTCTTGATAAAGGGGCTGCACACTGAAACTCCTCTCCCCACTCTGTGAATAAAGGGACAGATAAGGGAAGGAAAGCTTAAGGCCTCCCTCGTAACCCCGTCCCCCCTCCCGCTGATGCTCCTTTAACTCAAAGGCACTGGCTTCTCCTGGACCCCGGGGGCTCGCGCGCCGTGCCAACGACGGACTGAGGCAGCTGAGCGTCCCCCTACCTTCCGCACTGATGCCAGCTCAAGCTCCAGGGCATCCCCTGGTGCTTGGGGGCTCCCACATTCTTTGAGGGGGCACTTGTGCCATATCCACCCCACAGAGTAAACCGGGAATAGAGAATTAGGTACTACTCTTTCATATCCCGCTTCATCAGATGCTTGCTTGCTCCCAGGGACCCCTAATTCGAAGACGCACCCCCTTTTCCATCAGTCTCCACCCCCCACCCCCGACCCGCTTCCCCACGTCCTCCTCTCGACCTCCGCCCTCTGGACCCCATCCCCAAGTCCAGCTCCACCCATCTCCATTCCCCTCTGCCTCCCTTTGCCCACTAACTTGAGTCTGGGCTGCAGGGTCCGGCGGGCGCTGTCCCCTCCGCCCGGCGGCTGCTCGGCTGTGGGGGAAGGCGCTCTGTGCATGGACTGCCGGAGACCACCCGGGCTGCCCTTCTCGGTGCCCGGCGCTCGGCGCCTGCTGCGCGTTGCGCTCCTCCCCACGCAAAATGCCGTGTCCACCGCTGTCCAGGCTCTGTCCCTCCCTCCACGTCTTCTCTCTCCGAGCCTCCGAGCCTCTGTCTGTGCCTCTGCCCCCCCGCCTCCCCGGCTGCGCTTGCCGCCTCTCCGCGCCTCCGCCCCCGCAGGACGCACGGGGAGCGAGGCCCGACTCTGCGCTGGCTGCGGGGCTGGCGGGCGGAGGGCGTGGGCAGAGCCGGGGGCGGGGGCGGGGGCGGGGGCGGGGACCGGGGGGCGGGCACCGGGGCCTCTCGGCCGCTGAGACACCGCGGCTTACAGACTGGGAGAGGCGGAGACTGGGGGGAGGGGGTGTGGAGCAGGAGGCGGGGGCGGGGACTCAGAGCCCGGGCGCATAGTTAGGGACCGAGGTGACCGAGGCCCGGCTGTGGAGGACGGGCTTGGGGACCCAGCAGGCGGGGCGAGGTCGTTCAGTGCCGCCCACGCCGGATGCGCAGCCGGCCCTCTTGAGCCCACGTACCCACGTGAGTGCCGGGCCGGCGACATTCCTACTTTCCCCCACCCCTCCGAGCTGAGAGCGGAGTTTCACAACCACGCACAAGTACACAAAGACACAGAAGCGCACGGACGTGCACACGCGGCTAAACAACTACGCGGACGCCCACTGCTCACACTCAGGCCTTGCGGTGCTGGACGTGTGAATGTTAGAAGTCGGGAAAAGTTGGCGAAGGCTGGGGTGTGCGGCTCCTCCTGTGCGTGCATCTGACTCCCACAGAGTGTGCACTTAAGTTGGGCCTGAGGACGTGGGGCTCTGCAGGGATCCCCTAGATATCCCTGCGCCGCTCCCCAGCCCCCAGTGGAGTAATCTGAGGAGTCCGCTTTCGGAAACCCAGGCCTCCATGCTAATCTGGAAAGTTTAGGAAACAGGGATGGGAGGGTTATACTGCACGCCACCACTTAGGTGCGCGAGTTGATTAGACGCGTCGAGTTTTGTCAGCGCGTAGGTCAGGCAGGGATTCGGGGGTGAAACCCCGCCTTCCTCCACTTGTCCTCTATTTGCTGAGAATGAGGCCCTGCTTGGGCATTTTGTGTGGCAAGGCTGTGACAAAGACGATACCCTTCCTGGGGCCGTCTGTCTGTTAGGGGACCTCGCCCGAGAGTTTAGTGGAGATGAGTAAGAGGTCGGGTAGCCTCCGACGTGACTTCCTACGGCAGAGCTGGAGGGAAGAGCGCCTTCAAGGAGCTTAGCACCCCCCTCTGCAACCCACCATTGTCTCCCCCTTTGGTTTCTCCTAGCCCCATCTGGTTCGCATTGCACTCCCGCCCACGTCTGGGAGGGCTGTAGGGGGAGGCGGGGGCTCTGAGGGCCCGGCTCTAAGCCCCAGGGAAATGGGGGGGGCGGTGGGAGACCGAGGGAAGGCAGTGGACTGGCCACAGGCGAGGTTCCCGTAGTCCGAAACCTCAGCCCCGCCACGCCGTCCGCACTTCTGAGCTGCGGGGACCAGGCGGGGCGTGGGGGCCGTGGGCCGGGCTGGTTCTACATTCCGGCCTGGTGAGGAGACCTTTCCGCCTTGTGGGGATAGGGGAGAAGGAGCGTGCTATTGGTGGAGGGGATCTTAGTTGCTCAGGTCTTCTTCTCCATCCCATTAAGCGCCAAACACAGTGGGGGTGGTGGGAAAGAGCAGATTCCGGTCTCCCAATCCCCTGTCCCGCAACTGGAGGGCGCGGCTAGACAGGCTCCCCTTGGGGACACTGCTGACCCAGTCCGGGGTGTGGGCGCCCCCTCCCCCACTTCCCCCTCAGGTTATTTTGGATCCCGGGCTGCCAGCCGCTGGCCCCGGGTTTCCACGTGCCCCCTCCCTCCCCCGGCCCACGCTCCCCGTGACGCACATCCTCCGCCCACGCAGCCTCTGCTCGAGGCGCCCCCCTCCCTCCCACCCCGGCCCCCTTACGGCGGCGCTGAGCCTTGGGATCTGGAGGGAGACGCCCGCCCAAGGAGGGGGCAGAGTAGGGCGCGATCATGTGGGGGACAACCTACACAGCGTCGGGCGCCTGGGTCCAGGTCCAGGAAAGAGAAGGAGGGAGGAGCCGATTTTGACCCCTCCACTCCCGGATCCTGGCGGGAGTGGGGATGGGGTGCTGGGCCAGAGATGGACGAAGGGAGAGAAATCCCGCAGAAGGGGCCTGCCCACTCCCCTCGGGGAGCCAGCGGGGGTCCGAGTGCGAACCAGTGTGTGAGAGTGAAACTACTGGCTGTTAGTGTCTTTGTGTCCTTGTTTCTCAAGATTGTCGTGAGATTCGGATGAGAGAATGTACAGGAAAACTCTAAATTGTAGAATGTTAAACACATTTAAGACGCTACTGCCGGTTTGTGTCTCTCTACCCAAGATTATGTATTTATATGTTTCTTTACATCCACTTGTATATCTGTGTCCCTGTCTCTCTAGGTTTGTATCTGAGCCCCTATTTAAAAAATCGTTGACTTGTCAGGGCCCGCCGGAGGCCCAGAGCGCCCCCGCAGCCCGCAGCCGGAGCTGCCGAGATGTCTGTTCTTCCCGCCCACTCCTGCCACCCCCAACTCCCCTCCTACTCTCTTCCGTTGAGAACAAGGAATTTCCAGCCTCTTTAGCAAAAAGAGGCAAAGACAAAGAGACCATGGGAAACTATGGAAAAACAGAGAGACAGGTGTGTGTGTTGGGGGCGGGGAGTGGGGACAAATACAAAAATTTTCATTTGTTTCCTGCATGGGTCCTGTTCTACCCTGTGTCCCCTTGGCTCACTCTAGACCACTTCGTTGCCTGACTCACCTGCTCCCCCATCCCCAGTGCTCTCAAAGGCACAGAGCAGAGCAACTGATCTCGTGATAAAAAGGATTAATATTCCCTTTATCTATACTGGGCTCCTCCGTGAAGGAAAACTGTATCCTCAGTCCTAGTTTTCCAAGAAAAGGGGAAACGATTGCAAGGAAAGGGAGGAAAGTGGGTGGAAGAGGAGTGCGGAGACTGTCGTCCCTACGCACGTGTAGATTTTCATCTAGCAGATTGCTCTGCTCACTCCTCCCCCAGCGTTTCCACTGGGCCAGATCCGACTCACTCAGCAAGGTTTGGCTCAAACCTCTCCTTCCTGGACCCCTTCCACTCCTCCAGGCAGAATTAATTTCTCCCCCTGCCTCGGTGGCCTCCTCATTGCTCTTTGTACACATTTCCAATTATAGTCGCTTGTTTCAACTGAAACCCAGGACCTCTCCAGGATAAACCTGTTATCTGGTGGACCGTCTGAAATGAATGAATTGATGCTATTCACAGGGCTGCACAACTTTGAAAGGGCAGCAAGTGACACAGATTTTACTCCCAAAGGAGCTGAACCTGGGAAAAACTGCTTAAGTGGAGACATTTTTTTTCATATCTCTTTCCCTTGTAAAGTTTCCAGTGAGTCCCGTAAGTCTGGCTCCTTGGCCTTCTAAAATGTCCACCATTCTAGTAAATTAATTCACACTCAGATGCTAAAGGTAGTAGGCTGAAATCCTTGCTGGTAATAGAAAAATGTAAATATAAAGTATTGATCCCTTTTTTCCTTTTTCAGTAACATGCCAGAATTTGTCATCTAAGGAATGTCGTCCTTCAGGTTAGTTATTTTACAAGAAGTGTTTCACTTCAAACCCCGTCTCTACTAAAATACAAAAAATTAGTCGGGCATGGTGGTGCACGCCTGTCATCCCAGCCACTCAGGAGGCCGAGGCAGGGGAATCCCTTGAACCCTGGAGGCAGAGGTTGCAGTGAGCTGAGATCACGCCACTGCACTCCAGTCTGGCGACAGAGCAAGACTCTGTCTCAAAAAAAGAATAAGAAATGTTTCTCTCCTGAAAAACAGACAATCGTAACCACTGCCTATAAGGAACTCACAGACTAATAGGAGAAATAAACCTATAAACAAATAATTATAACATAGTGCAATAATAGGGCAAAAACAATGACAGAAGTATGAGGGTGAGTGATCTGTTCTGCTTGGAGTTGTGAGGGGCTTTGGTTTAGACAGGCATCCAAAGGAGGTGATGATGCAGTCAGTAGATTTCCAGGAGTGGCCAGGGCGGTGGCTCACACCCGTAACCACAGCATTTTGGGAGGCCAAGGCAGGCAGATCACCTGAGGTCAGGAGTTTGAGATCAGCCTGACCAACATGGAGAAACCCTGTCTCTACTAAAAATACAAAATTAGTCCTGTGATGGTGCATGCCTGTAATCCCAGCCACTCAGGAGGCTGAGACAGGAGAATCGCTTAAACCCAGGAGGTGAAGGTTGTGGTGAGCCAAGATCACACCATTGCACTCCAGCCTGGGCAACAAGAGGAAAACTCCATCCCCCGCCCCCCCTCAAAAAAAATTCTAGGAGGAAGGGAAGTCAAGTCAGAGAGGCCAGAAAGTGCATTTCCATGAAAGTATGAAACAGAGTGGTATGTTTCAGAAACTATAAAAAGTTGCTCATTATTGCTGGGTGATGGGTGGTGATTAGAAATGAGCCTAGGGAGGTGTACAAGGCCATTACATTACAAATATTATGGACCAGTGCTTCTCAAAGTATGGTTAAGGAACAATTTTTAAAACATCTCCTATCTATTATTGTCCACTACTTTTATAGACTGCACTAAATGTGAGTTATTCAAAAAACAAAATAAACTACCATTTTGTTAGATTCAATAAATATAAAATTTCTCTGTCAGATTCCTAAAGAACTTTCTAAATGCTTACACTTAATTTCTAAAATTGTTTCATTACAGATTGGTAACAAACGTTGAATAACTTTTTTTTTTTTTTGAGACGGAGTTTCACTGTTGTTACCCAGACTGGAGTGCAATGGCACGATCTTGGCTCACTGCAACCTCTACCTTCTGGGTTCAAGCAATTCTCCTGCCTCAGCCTCCTGAGTAGCTTGGACTACAGGCGCGCGCCACCATGCCCAGCTAATTTTTGTATTTTTAGTAGAGACGGGGTTTCACTTTGTTGACCGGGATGGTCTTGATCTCTTGACCTTGTGATCCACCCGCCTCGGCCTCCTACAGTGCTGGGATTACAGGTGTGAGCCACCATGCCCAGCCGAATAACATATTTTTTTTAAAGATGGAGTCTTGCTCTGTTGCCCAGGCTGGAGTGCAGTGGTTCACTGCAACCACCTTCCATGTTCAAGTGATTTGTCTGCCTCAGCCTCCCGAGTAGCTGGGACTACAGGTGTGCACCACCATGCCTGGCTATTTTTTGTATTTTTGTATTTTAGAGATGGGGTTTCACCACATTGGTCAGGCTGGTCTTGAACTCCTGACCTCATGATCTGCCCTCCATGGCCTCCCAAAGTGCTGACATTACAGAAGTGAGCCATCGTGCCCAGATGAATAACATTATTATAGTTACTTGTCTTTGCATCTGAGTTTTAGATCATACTAAGGATGTTGGACTTCATCCTGTGGTGTTACTGGAACCATAAAGACTGAAAACATAAAGACTCATGGCATGGTCATATCTGTACTTAGAAACAAAGTGGAGGAAGGATTTATGACTGCAAAAACAGAAGGAAGATCAGCTTGAAAAAAACTAAAGGACCCTCTCAACTGAGAGATGGCAAGGCACTGGCATGGGGAGAAAGAACAGATTTTCAAAAGATAGAAAATATGATCAGGCCGGGTGCAGTGGGTCACGCCTGTAATCCCAGCACTTTGGGAGACCAAGGTAGGCGGATCATGAGGTCAAGAGATCGAGACCATCTTGGCCAACATGGTGAAACCCCGACTCTCCTAAAAATACAAAAGTTAGCTGGGCATGGTGGTGTGCACCTGTAGTCCCAGCTACTCAGAAGGCTGAGACAGGAGAATTGCTTGAACCCTGGGGGGAGGTTGCAGTGAGCCGATATTGTGCCACTGCACTCCAGCCTGGTTGACACAGTGAGACCCCATCTCAAAAATAAAATAAAATAAAATATGATAGACAGAATTTGACTGATTGGCTGAGGGGTTGAGGGAAGAGAATGAGGGTTTGGTGACTATCAGGTTCCCAGCTTGGGTGACTGTGTATGTGGAATGGAATGTTCCTTCTCAAAACTCTGGAATTGCCCTCATTAAACATTCATGGTCTGAAAATCCTTTATCTACAATTCCTAAATTCAAAAAATTATGAAAACCAAAAGCTTGGCTGGGTGCAATGGCTCACACCCTTAATTCTAGCACTTTGGGAGGCCAAGGTAAGTGGATCACCCGAGGTTAGGAGTTCAAGAAAAGCCTGACCAACACAGCAAAACCCTGTCTCTATTAAAATTACAAAATTAGCTGGGCATGGTGGTGCAGGCTTGTAATCCCAGCTCTTTGGGAGTCCGAGGAACGATAATCACTTGAACTTGGGAGGCAGAAGTTGCATTGAGCCGAGATTGCACCATTATACTCCAGCCTGGATGACAGAGTGAGACGCCATCTCAAAAAAAAAAAAAAAAAAAACAAGAAGAAAAAAAAAACCCCAAAACAAAAATTAACTAGCGTGGTGTTGGGCGCCTGTAATCCCAGCTACACAGGAGGCTGAGGCAGGAGAATTGCCGAGATTGTGCCATTGCATTCCAGCCTGGGCAACAAGCAAAATTCCATCTCAAAAAAAAAAAAAAAGAAAGAAAGAAAAGGAAACCAGAAGCTTGTTCATAACTTATTTGACAATAAAATCTAATATGAACTGAATTTATTTTGTGGCAAAACCTGACCTAAACTTACATAAGGTTATTTATAGTTTTCACTTCTTCATCTTTCACTTATCACAGTATGAACAGTCATATATGTCATTGCAGAAATATTAATTTGTTTGATTACTGGGTACTGTCCAGATGCCATTGGGATTGTTGCTTTATATTTTGTATATGCACCATACTATCTTTCAAAAATCTAAAAAATTTTGAAACACATTTATCATCCAGATTTCCCATCCCATTTACTCATCAGTGTTGGCCTGAGTTCTTTTGGATATTTGCATAAATCCAATCCACCTGCAGATAATGAATATTCATTGCATTGTGTGCTATAGACTCTGAAGGAGATTCTTGGTGTTTTGAGCAGTGTCCTCATTAAAACAAGGCGAAATGTTTCTTGAATGACTACCTTGAAGTGACAGCACTCATTTGGATGAGTTGTAAGGTGTTTCTGGACAGCTGGTCTTATTATGATACACCTCATTTATACATTTTAATAGTCAGTGGTCAGTGATCTTCTGAAATTAGTTCCCAACCCTCAAATTAGTTCCCCTAGTTTTGCCTTGAGTGAAAACCACAGAGCAAGCTCTGAATGGTGAGAATGGGGCCTGATAAAAAAAAAGAAGTATGTGTTCATATAT